TAACTTAGATTGTTTGTGGCTGTACCCTCGAGGGAGGTTGAAGTAGCGTAACATTATTGTCCCCCTAAGAGGGTATGTAAGTCCCATATCATTCGAAGTACTTCTCTGCATGCCAGGCTTTTAAACGTAGGATATTCGTCATTTTAATCTTTGGCTTAAATGGTACACTGTCTCCAGTGACTGAAGGGATGATATAAATCCTAAAGTCCATGCAGGAAGCAAAGGCACTGTAAGTCCCCATGGTCCCTAGTATGGTGATCTCTCTTTAGTTACTGACGATCTCTAGCCCATTTTTATATTGTGTTGCTCACTAATACTTATGACTTTTATATATTCTCAACTAGTTTTAAATCGACTCTGTGATATTCTAGTTATTGTACTGTCCATCGTTGACAGCTGTTTTATATTGTCTAAATAAATGTATTAATAATGTACTTCTCGTCACGATATGGCTGAAATACTGCTGATGTGACGTAAAATCTTAACTCACTCACTCACTCTGCATAAAGGAGAGTCGATTGTTCAATTTCGACTATATCATGAGCGTGTGTTTATGAATCAATATGAGACAGCAATGAGACCAGGTGTTCGCGAAAAGGTGGGCGTATCTTGCCCCACCAGTGGCACCGGTCACAAAGGCAAGTCAACTGTTCACCTGAAAAAACATGGGAAAATATGGTACAAGTCAAAACTGGGAATTGCATTGGACATCGTTTTTGTCACTGATGCGTCAAATTTGGAAATGTCCTCTACATGTCTACCTTAAAGCTTTTTAAAAGCTTTACTGAGGCCTTGAATATTGTAGTCACCTTGATCAAACACATTCTTAGCAAGAGTCGTATAACGCTCTTTGAAATCTTGCTAGAAAAAGCATGCTTGATTGTATCTCAAAAGATGCGAAATGTAAACACCAAAGGCTGGAGCTGCTGGAATATTGCTCGACATGAAGGGAAAGTTGACCATTGGAAAGTTGAAGTCTACATTAGCTACCCCACCGCCCCCTTCCACTTAAAACTGACATGTTGTAATAAATGACCTCAACACTGGACCAAAAGCGAAGGCTATGGAAATGTCCGAGCTATCTTCAAGTCAGGTTGCAACTGGTTCCTTACATCGAGGATATGTTGTCAATATGCTGAAGTTCCAAATGGCGTGAGAATGTTTAGTGACAGTCGGCATATGAGCACAAACACACATGTTCATATTTTCACAATTCATGATTACATCAAAAGGGATACATGTCAAAATGATAATGATAAAACCTTTATTATCTCAGCCTAAAACAAAACGAATCTGAATCCAAGAAATTGTTAATAGCAAGAGCAGTGACACATGTCATCTGAAGCTTATGACCCCAAATATGTCACTACCATCCAATTCACTCTTTTCTGTATGCCGAATTCACCAAGGCAAATACCTTTGATAGTTTGACAATATGATTAGGTATTATGATGTTTAAAATGTTAAAAAGATCAACCTGTCACTATATAATCTTCCAATAGGTTCCAATGTTTTAGTAGCTGTTATTACACATCAAAATCACTGGATTCAATTTGTCAACAACCATCATTAATTCACCGATTAATTCTTAAAATGTCTGAAATAATTTCCATTTATCAGTAAAGTTGGTCGAAAAGGTGTATGGACCTGTGGAATCCACCTTTTTGCGAGTTTCCCGACCCCTTTCATAAAAGGTTCCAAAGCAATGCAAGATGCTCCCCTATCCACAAATAAGTAACGGTGACAATAATTAAACACACTTACTCTCTATTTTACACCAAAGAATAGTGTGTTTTATCAGGTATATTAAGTATTTGACAACAATCTAAAAATATACTAGTATTCAACAGACGAAGGAATTTTTATGTACTAACTTAAGATATTAAGAAACAAAAAGAATGCCTAAACATTTTTTGAATGATGAGGCACAAAATTTTCACGTAGGTCTGTTAATTTTCTGGAATCGGCTCGATGCTAAGTTTTAACCGGGCATAAATTTCATTGGTCTAAATCGACCATGGCTGGCTACGTTGAACTCTTTTGATCTTTGGAAATAAGGTAGAAAAGGGCTACATGGCACGTGACGATTTAAAGGTCAAGCAAAATATATACTTTGTCACTGAATCCATGCCTACAATGTGTGTAAGGTTTTGGAAGTCTATCTCACAAAATGTATCGACATCAAAAAACTTTCCTTTTTGTCAAGTAATATTTCCCTAAGTAACATGTTGTTTTTTTAAAAGCTCCTTCATTCAGAACATATAGCGAAACATTTCCGTATTGTTGGCACTGCTGCCAGTGTGGGAAGATGACGATCAGTGACTCACTCATGGATTGACGGGTTGACGCTCTGCTTTTGACATTGCTCACAGTTTAACTTTGTTCTATAAAAATATATGTATATGGGTGGCCACCTTCACGGCTCATTGAACAAAGATGTTTTGCAAATTGGATGGGCCAAAGCAGGACACATCCAACTTTACACAACCAGCAAAATAATGGGTTGACAATTGCTCAAAGTATGTTATGGAAATTATTCGAAACATTTAATCTTTTAAATTTGTGAATGGTGGTAGAATATCTAAACCTCATCAGGACTACCTCATTTTGGTATACCAGATAGTCCATCCGTCTACTGTTGCTTTTATTCTAATGTCCGTCAATGCTGTTACAGGTTATTACATTTTAAGACATCAGTTATCCAAGGTTTTTACATTTGCAATATATGTTTCAACACTCATCTGAAATGTCCGTTTCTGTTTAGGACACATATCTCAAAGAAACATTTTGCTGTTGAGTCACTGCACTGCATGGATTTTTATCCCCCCGGCATATAATGCGGGGGATATAGCGATCAGCCAGTCTGTCTGTCCGTCCGTCTGTCCGTCCGTAATCATTTCCTTTTCCGAGGCAGAACTCGAAAACAATTTAGTGTATTTAATCGAAACTTTGCAAATCTATCTGTCACATACTGAAGTTGTTCCTTTTGCTATTTAGGAATTCTTATTTTTTATATTTTTTTCCGTTTCAATTGCAACAAGTTTGACTTAGGTTCTATAGGGTAGAGTTCGTTTCCGGAGCATAACTCAAAACCCATTCAAAACTTTCTTACAAAACTTTGGATGTCTACAAGTTGGATATAAGTTTTAATATAGGGTGGGTTCACTTATGGAGTATAACAAATAAACTGTTAAATATTTCCTTGCCAAACATTGCATGTCTATATATAAAGTGCATACTGAACTGGTGCCATTTGATATTAAGGAGTTTTAGAAATGTGTATTTTAGAATTTCCATTACAGCTATTTTGACATGGGCTATGAGAAATGTTGGGTCAGTTACCTGGTTTGGGACCATAACGTGTTAAAATGGGCGGGGGATATAGATGACTTCGTTGACTATACGCTTGTGTAGTTATTGTTTCTTGTAATTTGTCATTTGTTTGCATAAAAAAAACCCCACAGAAACACACTTATTTTACTTTACATTTCATATGGATGCCACCATAGTGGATCTTTGGTGGGTAAACAATGTATGCTTCTTCAAGAACTTTCAACTTTTGACTCATTACAAAGAGAATTGCACATTTACTTGTGGTTACTTTACAAACAGCTACCGGGGGGATGTGTCATCTTTCTGATGACTCTTGTTTTCAAATGTTTTTAAAAGGTCCAAGAATTTAAGTTGCAACCTTGACCTCATTTAGTCTTCAGACCACACTATATTAATTTAATATTGACCTATATTTTCAAGGTCTCAGTGAGAATTGTCAATGGGTGTTTTTATTTTGTACATATTTGGTAGTGAAGATGCTTTAGAAACCTGCATATCTGATTTTTATGATGACTATTTAAATTAAAGAAACCTGAATTTCAATTAAGACAAAGAAAACGTAAATGGTTCCGTTATGGTGATGTCAACCCAGCGTGTTACATACAATTCCCTCTCGTTAGTAGAGAGTAGAAGTATAAAAGTATCTACTTTCACAAATTTGCGAGGTAGATGACAAGGCCACATTACTGATTAACACTTAGTTTCATTTCAGTATACATTATAGAAACTAAGCTGTATTGCTAATATTAAATTTTCTTGTTATATCCAGAGGAGATTTTGCGTAAGTGTGAAACAATTTCGAATGACAAGAATTATTATTTCATTAAAAAAGAATGGAAAAGCATATACGGCTGATATGGTTGACTTTGGCACAGTCATAGCAACATGGTGAGTGTGCGAGTTGGTATTTCCGCAGGTCAGAACAGCATTTAGTGTCAAAAGTGAGCCAGGTCATAGACAGTACCTTTGTTACTTTGTTTAACATCACAAATACCAGTACGGTGCTAATCGAGGTTCATATTGAATTCAAATCTTTGATAAGCAGATCCTTGCACAACTAAGGGGCGCAACTCTGCAAAACTACTCCCAATGCCATAGGTCACCTGTTCTTCCCTTTTTATAACTGGGTAATTATTGCAAAAGGTTATTCCTGGTCACTGCTACCAACATACATCTTATTGACTGTTCAGAGTTCCCTTACTTGATACAGTAACAGATAAATTGTTGTTTATTTTCCGTCGTGTAAATTGACAGATTTTAGATATGACAGACAATTGTGTCTCATTTTGAGGCCATAGAACCATAATGTATCCACCATCTAGGTGCAACATCAGTATTGGTTTATGGTGCAACATAAATAAATGTATATGTTTACTTTAGTTACAGAGGAGATAGTATCAGTAAACCTTTTTTCTTTGGTGATATACAGACAAATCCTTTCAGCAAAAGTTACATTGTTATACCTTTCAACATTTACATTAAGCTTATACTCTAGTTTTCAACATTTAAAAGTGATATTGTTACCTTTGGGATTAACTTTTTAACCTTTCAATGATTGTCACACCACACACAACTGTCATTTGTTTTCAGTTTCTTGGATTTCTGTAATTTCTTGATCTAAGGCAGTACTTTGTAAACAAGTCATACACTTGTTGTATCTACTTCAGGATGTGGCGGGCGCTACACAGGCTCGTCTGGTTCTATCTCATCACCTAACTACCCTGGCAATTACGGCAACTACCTGATCTGTTCCTACGTTATTGATGCCGGAGAAACATTGATCACTCTCGTGTTTGAAGAGTTCATTACGCAGCCATGGTACGATGTTGTCAAGGTATGTATAGCTGTAATTTTGTTAAGATGTATACAAGGTAGTGTGCGCTGTTTCTATAAGTCAATTATTCCAAGAAGGAATAGAGCATGGAAGTATAATTGTACCAGTAGTGGTCAGTGACCTTGTCGATTTCACAGCTCGTGTGTTGATAGTGATGTTAAGCACACCATACGAAGGTCCATTTAAAAGATACTGAGAGCTTGAGCTAAATGCAACGTACCAAATACCTCAAATAATGTGTTTTGGCTGAGATAGTCACATCGAATTTGGAAGATGCATTGTGCGATTTTTTCCTCTTTACTGGAATAATGTTTGCCCGTTTTTTTCTGATATTACTTCATCCATATAGCTAGAGAACCGTTTCATGGACATCTTGACAGATAGCCACCTTACGACATAAACAATCGAGTTATCACCAATGTATTACAATCGGATATGCTCAGTTAAGTTAGCTAAACTACATTAAATAGGTGTTCAGTTTCGAGATAATATTATCATATAATTGTATTCCCATTGGTTAAAGTAAGGAAGTTCGACATTTCCCAGTGGGGTATATAAAATTTGTCAGCAGGGCCATGGTGAAATAAAGGCCAATTCAGTAGCCAATCAGAAACGAGTATCGTAATGCAATGTAGGGCATATTCTGGAATATGCCAGTCTCCATAGATGACACAAGAGGACATCGATGCAGTGCATCAATGTTTCCCACACAAAACTTGAGATGTAGAGCGGTTCTCTGAGTGATATCAAAGAGGCTTGGTCAGATTTGGGGCAGAAGGAAAACATGCAAAAACATCGTGGCGATGTGATACAGGCAAACATCTACTGTATATACGGGTGTGAAAAAAATCCATATATCTGGTGTCTTTTATTTCCAGCCTAGGCGGGTAAATCAGTGGAAGTGAATTGGATATGTAGCAATTGTTTAACGATTTATCTATATATTGGAACTTAAGTTTGATTTTGCAGAGCCGGGCATAAATTCTGGCTCTTATGCATGAAAAAACAGGTAATCAAGGAGGCGAGCACAATTGGTGTCCAAGGGAATGCCTATTTTTCGAGGCAAATTTGGGTATAGGCAAAACGGGACTCAACCCTCCATTTATAAACTACAGGTCTATGACGCCTCCAACAACCTCCTTGTCCATCTAAGTGGAGATAGAGGGGGCTACATTGTCCAGTCAGCCGTCTACTACCGTGTTGTGTTTACTACGAATCATGGGGATGTCAGGAGTGGATTTAAGGCTGTATGGACAGGTATGTAGATGTTTACTTATGTGATATCTTGTTTACTTTGTAATTTGTCTCCTTTAACATCTTTTCATCATCACCTTGCAGCTGATACAGGTTTGTTCACCGCAAAAAAAAGTCCATCTATACACGCTTGTAAATGCTTTGTATTGATGACCTATACAAAGTCTAAACAATTTCGTATTGATGAGATATACACAGCATAAACTACTTTGTAAAGATGCTGATTACGTTCAAAGTTGTTTTTCGTTGTATATGTTGGCGGAGAGAGATAATTGCTATGAATTGTTATATAATTGTTCTGTATGTGCAACATGCAGTGTTTCTAAGTGTCCCAATGTTTTTAGTTGTATGTATTGGAAAAGGGGTATAATTGCTATGGATTGTTATATAATTGCTCTGCATGTGCAAAATGCAGTGTTTTGAAGTCGACTTATATTATTAGCAAATTTTAAAATACAACTGAATAAGTAGAGCATAACATTACTAAAATTTGCCCTTAAGTTTTAATTAGTACTCCACTGTGTTAGCGGGATTGCGTACTCTCCTCGCACTGGTATTGACAGGTAAGTGATTGAGGCGTCTGGTACTTTTCCTGGAGCGTTGCACGGTATGTGAGTAGACATCATGGTCTAATGCATGTAAAGGATTAGCAGACAGAGGTGATTGCACTGATGGTGATATCTACATTATAATCACTTGAAAGTGTGGAAATTGTTTTTTGCTGACCTGTCGATCTGTACGGTATGCCGCTATGTGGATAGTAACATGCTGTTGTGCACATAGCAGACTAGCAAACGGAGTGGACTACTCAGGCGGTGAAAGCTTTATTATAATCACTTGAAAGTGTTGAAATTGGTTTGTGCTGAGATGTAGGTCTGTACGGTATATATGAATAGTCATCATATCCTGATGCAATGGACGTGGAATTTCGCTTATCATTACCATATTGAAATAAAGTTGAGCTCAGCTTAGTCTTGTTCAACAAGTTGCGATCGTAAATTGAATGTACAACAGACACATGAAAATATAAAGAAATGTTACAAATACAAATTATTAACAAGGGAAAAATGAAAACGTTTAGATAGACTCTCTTTGGAACACGAAATTAATTCTAGACATATTGAGATGTTACTGATATTTTTTACTTGGAATATAAATGTCAGTATTCCGGTTATGAAAATAATTTAAACCACAAGAATATATATATATATATATGGCAAATTATTGAGATGTTACAGATTGGCAAACAAGCCTGGCTGGGTAAAATTAATGCTGCTCTGGGTTAAAAAAGCAAACAATATGCATACATATATATGGTTTGGTTCGGTTTGACACATGAATCAAGATAGCATTATAATGGCTAACACTGTTGTGGTCAGTCCATGATGCACACGATAGGATGTTACAGTGATGTGTGCTGATGTAAACAGATTAAATCTTTTCGGTTTTGAAAATAATTTAAACCACAAGAATATATATATATATATATATATATATATATATATATATATATATATATATATATATATAAATAAACCTTGTCACCACACATTTTTAAGTAAAAGTAGAAAATATAATTACAGTACAGATTTCATATACTACACCATCTGTGAACATAATTTCACAAACACACCCTTTTCCGAGCTGCACGTGCATGCTTGCATTGAGCATGCTTGTACCGGGGGTCGGTTTGCTAAAAATGCAGCATGCACATAGCCTCTTTTGGCGTATGTTATGTTGGTAGATACAGCTAAAATTTGGTTTGAGGCATAAATTAGGCTTCATTTAGACCAGGGGCGGTAGGGTAACCTAGTGGTTAAAGCGTTCGCTCGTCACGCCGAAGACCCGGGTTCGATTCCCGACAGGGGTACAATGTGTGAAGCCCATTTCTGGTGTCCCCCGCCATGATAGTGCTGGAATATTGCTAAAAGCAGTGTAAAAGCAGACTCACTCACTCACTCACTCACTCACTCACTCACTCACTCACTCACTCACTCACTCACTCACTCTCTCTGACCAGCCAGTGAAATGCCCAAGCGTCAAGTGTCTCCGAACCAAAAATGGCAAATTATTGGTATGCACCAGACTGGTATGTCATGTCGTGCTATTGGAGCACAACTGAACATTAATCACACTGTCATCAGCAGGCTAATACGTAAGCATACTGCTTCCGGTGAAGTGAAGGATGTACCGAGGTCTGGACGTCCGAGAAAAACCAATGACAGGGAAGATTGTGCTCTCGTACGCCAAGCTAGACGAAGCCGAAAGTCTACTTGTATACAGCTGCGACATGGATGGCATTCATACAACAGAGTGTCCATCAGCACCTTCAGACGACGCCTAAATTCTGCAGGATTAGCCGTTTAGCCTGGTGCAAGGCACGTGCTCGCTGGAACCTGTGGACATGGAGCAGGATCCACTGGTCCAATGAAAGCAGATTTTTGCTGCATCATACACACGGGAGGGCTCGAGTTTGGAGGCAGAGAGGCACAACATATGATCAGAGGAACATTCAAGCTGATGTTCCATTTGGGGTTGGATGCGTCATGTTGTGGGGGTGTCGTAAACTTGACCACATCACAGTTCCCGGAACACTGAATGGACAGAGGTACCAGAACTTGATCCTTGACAGTGCTGTTGTGCCTCATTTCGATAAACATGCTCTCGCCACACGTCCAGTCTTCATGGACGATAATGCCAGACCACTTCGTGCTCGAGCTGTTGTTCAGCATCTCCAACACAACACCATTGAGACACTACCCTGGCCTGGCAGAAGTCCACACATTAATCCTATTGAGCATTTGTGGGACATTTTGGGACGTAAGGTGAGAGCAAGGGATCCTCCAGTTCAGAACCTTCAGGAATTGACCCCTGCATTGCATGATGAGTGGCAGCAGATCCCCCAACATAGATTCAGACGTCTGGTGACCAGCATGAGACGGCGTGTAGAACATGTTATCCAAGTGCGAGGCGGTTACACTAATACTGAGTTAGCCAGTCATTGTGGACCTTACTAGTGTGTTCGACATTAATGAAATGTGAACTGTGTTGTGTGTCTGTTGTAGCGACTCCGGCAGCCATACTTATTTTACGGTGATTTTAGTGAACTTTAGTTTGCTGCAATTAAACCCTCAATTCGTGCTGAAATTCGGTCTTGTGTTGTCAATTTTCTGACTGAACGCTTACATGAGGCCATATAAACAGTTTAATGTGCTTTCCTACGCACCATTTTTATGAGGTTGAAGATCCAGTTTTACTTTGTGAAAAAGTGGTTGGTGCGATATTTATGACGAGGTGTATATATATGACCTTTTTACAAATTTAATACAGAGTAATTGAAATATGCAAAGATAAGATATCATCACAAGTACTATAATTGAAGCCTCTCCTTATGTTTTATTCCATGTTAGGTTTACATGGCCAGATTGGCAAACAAGCCTGGCTGGGTTAAATTAATGCCGCTCTGGGTTAAAAAAGCAAACAATATGCATACATATATATGGTTTGGTTCGGTTTGACACATGAATCAAGATAGCATTATAATGGCTAACACTGTTGTGGTCAGTCCATGATGCACACGATAGGATGTTACAGTGATGTGTGCTGATGTAAACAGATTAAATCTTTTCGGTTTTGTGAAGTACCACTGTGACCTAGAGTGTGTGTTTGTTGTTTTACGCTGCACTCAGCAATATTCCAGCTATATTCTAAATAAACGAGTCTTGACCAGACAATCCAGTGATTGACATCATGAGCATCGATCACTGCAGTTGAGAACGATGCATGTATGAACCAAGTTAGTCGCCTCTTACGACAAGCATAGTCGCCTATTACAGCAAGCATGTGTTGCTGAAGACCTTTTCTTCCCTTGATCTTCACGGGTCCTGTGGTAAAGAATCATGCGGTGTTGCCAAGGGACAGATATATGTAATGGTTTAAATGAATGGCCTCTGTTTGATTGCAATGCGGAAATATTATATTGCTTTATTCCAAAAATTGTAATATATTCATATTTGTAAAAAAAGTTCGTATGCATTTTATTGTATTTATTGTATCATCATTGTAGAAAACTACTCATAAAGTAATTGTACACTTATTGTATATATAGATGTTCTTATTTGTAAAAAGAGGCGGTTGGGTAGCCTTGTTGTTAAAGCTTTCACTCGTCACGCCGAAGACCTGGGCTTGATTCCCAACATGGGTACAATGTGTGAAGCCCATTTCTGGTGTCCCCCGCCATGATATTGCTGGAATATTGCTAAAAGCAATAAACCATACTCACTCACTCATTATTGGTAAAAAAGCTGGCATACACTGTATATTTATGTTGTATCATTGTACAAAATATGTTGTATATTTAACAGCAGTTACACATTGTATTATATTATCATGTAATAATTGAATCGTCGTTGTGTTCTTTGAAATTCCTGCATTCTGATTAACTGAATTGGTCACGTGTTATTATCCCCCGCCACGAAGTGGAAGGGGGATATAGGAATGGGTGCCGTCCGTCCGTCCGTCCTCCGTCCGGCCGTCACATTTCGTTTCCGGAGCAGATCTTGAAAACCGTACCATATTTCTTCACCAAACTTGGCACATAGATAGATCTAGTGGTGAACTGGTGCCTTTTGATAGTTTGGGATTTTTAAAAAAGTTATTTTTTGAGTTTCCATGGCAACGACTTTGATTTAGACTGAAAATGGCGGTAGTCCTCGTTTCCGGAGCAGATCTTGAAAATCGTACCATATTTCTTCACCAAACTTGGCGCATAGATAGATCTAGTGGTAAACTGGTGCCTTTTGATAGTTTGGGATTTAAAAAAAATATTTTTTTTCGAGTTTCCATGGCAACGACTTTGATTTAGACTGAAAATGGCGGTAGTCCTCGTTTCGGAGCATATCTTGAAAACCGTACCATATTTCTTCACCAAACTTGGCACATAGATAGATCTAGTGGTGAACTGGTACCTTTTGATAGCTTGGCATTTTTAAAAACAATATATT